GGCTCTCGCTCGGCACGGCCAGAGGGAGCTCGCGCTCGTTGCCTTGCAGGGGGGCAAACGTGTTGGGGGATGAACGTAGTGGACCCGGACAGGAGCGGGGGCCTGGACTGGGGAGATGGGGCTGACACCTCTTCTTCCCTGAAGACACCAGGTCCCGGACCAGCTGTGGTGCTGCCGCCAGGAGAGGAGCAGAGCTGGGCGACGTGCCAGGTTGGTGACCACCACACTGCTCCTGGCCCAGGCTAGGCCCCGCTGGAGAGTCAGGGAGTTCCCGCTTGCCCCCTCGCCTCCCCTGCGACTGACACCGTCAGCAGCTACGGGGTAGGTGCGTGGCTGAGGGGTTAGCGATGAGCATGTGTAACACTGACAGCATCCCAGAGGTGAAAGGGGCTGCACGACAGCTATAGAGACAGCATTGCTCCGTACGGGAAAGCTTAACAGTTGACTCTGAGCATAGAAACCAGCCCTACTTCAAAAGTAACGAGCACAGCTGCACTCTACAGGAGCATCAGAACAACTCACAAGAGTGGTTCAGGTGTGGTGCACAGGTATGTGGATATCAGTTTCCCCATCTCAAGAATTTTTCCGGAGTTCAGTATTCTGGAAGGGCATGAGATACCGCAGGACAACAGTGCCTCTGCATTAAAGGGAAGTGTCACTCACAGGAGTTACAAGAAGGCTGCAGTCACAGCGCAAGTCTGAGCCAGGATGCTGTGAAAGCAGCTAGCCATTAGATTGCATGGTGTTTGCAGCAAGTTACAGCATGCAATAGAGAACTGCCAAGTCTTTCTTCATCATTCCTTCCCACCTGAAGCCCAAAGCCAACCCCACCACCAGCAGCCTCTTCTTTTTATCCCATGAAGGGATCAGCATTGTACAAGCTATTAGCACGGAGCAAAGTTTTCCTTGCTTTCTGGTGCCCTCTGCTGCAGTGTGCCTATCAAGGAACAGCTCAGCAGAGCCACATGTTTAGTTTGTCGTGCAGCCTGGTCGCTACAAGTCCTACATCCCTAATAAAGTCTGCTATTCCATTTCTGCCTCAGGCTTTCCTCAGGCTTTCTGCTGGTTTACCAACTGCGTCCTAGTCTCCTATCGTCATCCTTTGTCTGGGAGCAATGCATACTCTGAATTGGAAAGTCAAGTCCAGGGTCAGACAGCAAACACTCCTTTCCTCCCTTCCGCCCCCCCCCCCCACCAGTAAACCAATGTTTTGAGAAGGGACTGCTGAGAATCACTTTTAGCCTCCTAAGGAGGGCAAGCCCTCTTACAGCTGATTACACATAAGGCTCAGAGTAAAGCTACTGTCTGAACAAAAGGGAAATGGTTACTATAATTCCTAAAGGCACTGAAGTCTCACAACTGTCTGCCACCTGGAAAACCCCTCAGCAACTTTGTACACATTCACTCGGATCTCTTTCTGTCATTGCTATGGGACAAGCACCTACTCAGCTGAACTGCTTCTCCAGTCAGAGCATGAACTAGCTCAGGGAATGCTGAAGAATCAAGATAGTTTTGAGCAGGGCCCTAGGCTTGAGGTTCTGCTCCTCTCTTCATGTATCGGCAGAAGTTGCTATCCCATCTTTGTCGTTGTTGCTGGTGAGGATTGTCCATCAAGAACTGGTTCCTAACCTGAACTTATCCAGGTTAGGCTAGATGTGGGATGCTAATCTCATTGCACGATGTGCAAGATGCACGCTGGATTTCACCACACTTCAGAGGAGCATGTGGAATTTGATCCTGTTGGACCTCACCTGACCTCCTCCCAGAAATACAGTCATTAAAAGAAGAGGCAGTTTCCCTGATGTGGGTGCACAGCAGTCCTAGGAAAACCTACAGGCCTTTTATGTAGGTCCTGGAGGAGCTCCACGATCCCCTCTATAGGGGAACACACAGACAGACAATGAGGGTCACCTGTCAAATCCCGGGGGGGGGATGCATGGATAGATGCATGATAGCCCAGTTCCTATATATTCTTCATCCACAGAAAGCACGGTCCCTAAATCAGGACTGAACTATTTAAATGCATTCACTCAGCAACCAAATTAAAACAAAACTTATACTTCACTGTAAAACTCTGAGATGCACTCCATATTACCCCTATCTTGTCTCTTACCTGCTGCTTCTGTTCTTACCAAAGGTCTCTAGCTCCAACCCCAGTATAAACAAAACTCTGCTGTGCTGGTGAGAGCTGAGGTATTGTAAGAAATGATCTTGCACACCTACTGTAATGCATCTCCATGTCTTTGGTATTTCCCAAGACTCCTTGGGATCCACATGAATCATGCTGCAGGAGTTTCGAGAAGCACTATTCATCCCAGCAGGAGACTGTGCTTATGCTGGAGAAATAAAACAGGATATGACAATTAGACGTAGACTATTGAAGAGAGGGTACAAGGGTCATCAGATACAAGTGCTGACAGGCATCAGATTAGGAGTAAGGTGGTACTCTCCCATGAAACAATATCAAGAGATTTTCTGAGAAGGTGTTATCCAAGCAATCTGCTTTGTGAAATAAGAAAATCTAGTGCAGTTTAGAAGGATGGGTTTTTGTGTACTTCCTGAGTATATCATCCATCAATAAGCCCATGACCAAATTATTTCTGCTAATCTAGATAGGCTGAAGACAGGTTGCAAAAACATATTTCTCTAAAGAAGGCATTGCTGAACACTATCTGTTAATTTCTTTTCTTGGGTCACTAAAAGAGATAAGGAAAAGAAAGAAAAGAAACAAAAAAAGAAAGAAAAAAGCCTTCTCCCTGTCAAAAAACACAGATCTTTACTCGCATTACCTTGTGCTAGAACTGCCAGATACCAAAGCCAGCTTGCTGTTCTTTGATGTTGGGAGCTGAGACTGTACCCACAGCAGTGGTGTGAGCTCACCCCGTGAGCAGGAGCGAGATGTTAGCACGAGCCAGATATTCACTTTGCCATCTTCTTTCTTTGGCCAGTTCTCAGAGGTTCTTCAGTTCTCCCTGGGCCCTTCAGCAAAAAGCAGGGGGGGGGGGAAACCCTGATATTTCTGGTATACAGATGGAAGTAGAATTTTTTATATATAAGCAAAGTTAACTTTCCAGGCCTTCTCCAAATGTCACAAAAAAGCAAAAATAAGCAGATAAGAAGTTAAAAAGTTAGGGGAGAATTTTACGTTACAGGTGAACTTTAGAGTCCTCATTTAAGAGGATATAAAGCTCTTTCCTGAGTTTAAACACATGCGTAAATGCCATTATGCCAGGTACTTTGTGGAGATGCGATTGACTTACATGCATTAAGAGCTCCTTCGCCTGACGATAAGGAGCAGAATACAACATCAAGCTCTCAGGAGATGATTCCCAGGCAGCTATAGGTTTGTCTGCACTTCAGGTCAGATACAAAGATTCAAGGCATAAAGGAAACACTAAGACATTGCAACAGATCAAGCGACAACACTGCTGTCTCTTGGCTCTCTGATTCAGCTGCGCTGCCGAGACCTTCTGTGGTTGAGGTCTTCTCTCTCTTTGTCCATTAGCGCTGCTGCCTGCGTGGGGCAGGTCTCTGTGACAAGGGAGATCTATATAAAGGCTCAGTTATTTTTAAACACCTTGTTATTCCAAAGAGCACACTATTTCTGACACCAGTTCAGGAGCAGTTCTGCTAATTTCAAAAGCTTCAGATCCATAAAAACTGGTTCAAGAGCAGAGAATTGGATCAGGTGGCTCCTTCAGAGAGTTGTTGTTATGCACATTGTTCCTAATGACGCAGGCATTAAATGTGTATTACAGTGAAGTCAGCTGGATGCTCCTGCAAGGATTTTAAACTCCTGTGGAATATCTGTTTCTGCTAAATCCACAGTGTATTTAGGGATGGACTGTGAATTTTCTGCACGCGCAGTAAGGAGCCCAGGCAGAGAATATAACAGGCTGCAGGGACACATTTGTGTCGCTGGAACCTCTTTGTCCTCGGGAAAGGCAAATGCCATTCTTTGCATGAATGGTGGCATTGCAGTAATACAGTTCTAGTGGTGGAGAGATCACTAGAGGTTGTTTTCTTCAGCTTGTGACTCAAGGTACAGAAAATGCCTGTGGAGAGAAATAAGTGCTATCACAGGCCCTTTTACTCGGCATGCAGTCACAGTGAGCAACTGACAAGCCCCCCTGCCACGTGAATAACGTAGCAAAACCCAGGCTTTCTGTAAATGGCTGCATCTTTCAGGGCTGAGTAAAATCCTTGATCTTCAAATTGAGACAGTGCAGATAAACAGATCTCCTTCACATTTTTCAACACAGATTACAGAAGGCTGCTTTCTGGTAACTGTTCTTGTATGTTCATTTCTTGCAATATGTCCCACTGGGGATTTTTAGAAATCAAATGGTTTCTTTTAGTAGCACTACTACCAAGCACCTTATTATCATTGTTATTAGTTATACTGATAAAATCTGGGACTTATAAGGCTTTTCTGAAGAAGTGCTATCTCTCTATAAATTGAAAGTAAAGTCAGTGGAAGCTGTAGGTCCTTTTCCCCTATGCACATGGAGTGGTTATAGGGATTGTAAATAAGATGGCTGGAAATAGGCCCCCCAAATTTCCCTGTCTCCTAACATTCAAGGGCCATGTTGCCGCAGTGTCACTCATGCCAGGTTTGCATTACCCCGTCAACAGTCCCATTGAGTTCACCAGCACCACCTGAAAACCAGGGGGAGCTTGGGACAGGACTAGAACCAGACCTTGCAACCTCTGTGTGAAACAAGCAATGTGTTTGATACAAACACCAAGTGTTACAGAAAACTGCATGTGAATGGTTGCCACCGAGTAACATCCTTTGAACTGGCTACTGAAGGCCTTGAGTTTCAGCTGGACCTTACTCACTCATCAGATAATACCTTTTATTTGCACCCCCCCACCCCACCCTGCACATGCCTGCACGCACTCAACCCCCCTTCACAGAGTTTTGCTCAATTGCTTATCTATTGAAGATTGCTGCATTTCTCCCCGGAACAAAGGAAGAGCTATTTTCCTTCACAATGCATGCTCTGTGTTTCACATGAAAATATCAACAAGGAAACTGGAAGATCATAGCCTTTGTCATCCCATTTGTTCTGGGAACCCTGATTTCATTTCAGGGGAAAACCAATCTTTCCTGGAGGTAGAAGTCCCAACTATGGTCACTACCATTTAAGCCTCACCTTTCTGTAAAGCAGCAGCCTTCAGTCCAGCTGGAACTCTTCCATGTATTCCCCTTTCCTTCCTCCGTGACTTTTAGCATGGCACCCTGCCTTCCTTACAGCTCTGAGGAAATCCTGGGGGAAGGAGCCACACCTGGAATACCTTCTACTTAGGTTCAAAGTGTCAACAGAAACTTCTTTGCTACGGCTGGATACATTGCTTGATCTCCCACTTTTATTTCCTGGTTGTGTTTTCTGTGAGTAATCACAGGCATGTAACCTTATCTTCCTCCCCAGAGGGGAATGGCAAAATGCCCCAGGCTCTCTGCAAGCAATTTGCTACATTGTAACGGAGATAGCCCCAAAGATTGCAAAATTTCTTCATGGCATAGATAACACTTCTCAGTCATATAGTTCAAAACAGAGGCCAGTTCTCTAGGGCTTATGACATAAAACTAGCAAACTGCAATATTTGTGTAAAAAAAAAAAAAAGAAAAAAGTAATAGTAAATTAATCTAATCGTGGGTTTCTGTACATTGTTTTTGTACCAGCCCGTAAATTAGAAATATCAAGACATATAACAGTTGGCTTGAAATCTCCTAAGAAGCAGCCTACAATATTCTATAAATAGCTCCACAAAAAAATACTCGTTTTTTTTAGGATTTTTGTAAAACAGAAAAAAGAGGTAAAGCTTCTCATAATTCTTAAGGCTGGAAATTTCAGATGGCTGATGAGCATAACTCCCATAATGCTTATTTATTATCTATTTTAATAAAATTCATTCAAGTAGCATGACTTCTGCCATGCAATCTGATCAGCGTGAGACCAGCTGCCAGTAAACCACAAGGAGCTCAGCTGGGCTCCTGTGCCCTCCTACTTGGCACTGCACTGGGTCCAAAACCAAACTCCTGAGCCAGAAAGGTGGGCAACCAAAGGACATCAACAGAGAAAGGGTAACGGTTGGCAAACAGGATACACCCCATGCCGCGGGTATGGCAATGGTACAGAGGATTGGTCAGAAGTGTTGTTTTGTTCTTAGTTAGAGGAGGTGTGGGACCAACCTAGCGCACAGCGACTGAGCGGCTGCAAACAGAGCCCCGGCTGCACAGCGTGGATTACCCAGCAAGAATGAGCAAGTGCACGTGATGCAGGTGCTTGGATGTGAGGCTGGAAAATTACCTGGGCAAAGAGCCGGTTGCGTCAGGGCAGTTAAACCTGAGCAACCAGTTCACACTCGACGCGGCACGTGGCACACTCGTACACATCCTCTTTCCTCTTCTGTGACCTCCTGGGGATGTGCCCTTCTGCTTTGTCACCATGAGGAAAGCCAGGATCTGCTGCAGGGAACAGCCTCAGCGATACTTCTCCTCTGGGCCTCAAACTGAACATAAGCCTGTGGAGAAGGGCTTGGACCTCAGCAGCAGCTACTCCCCCTATGGGGAGGGAGTTTGGGGGGACCACCCCCTCGAGCGCTTCCCAGGGGCCTGGTGCATGGAGATCCCTTGGCAAAAGACCTGCCAGGGTAGAGATAAAACAGGGGGGCATCTGACAGCCCCCTCATGAGCCTCAGTGGATACAAGGGTTTAGGCTCTGATGCCTTCCTCAGGGCTGTCCCAGCAGGGACAGCACACAGCACCTCACGGTGAGCACCCACAGAAACACCCTGTTGCAGATGTGCAGTCCTCAGTGCCGAGGAGAGCCCGAGGACATGCCCTGTTGGACAGGAACCACTTCAAACACCAGGGCCAACTTCTCCTTAACATTCATAAAATAAGGAAATGTGTTTAAAAAAAAAAACTGAATTATTTTCCCTCCTCCTGCTCATTTGCAGATAGGAGCTAGAGTCCTAGGGTACAGTGAAACATTTGCAATGCAAAAAATCATGGACTGCTGAGTCTTTCTTACGCCTGCAATAGATTCTAGCAAGGGAAAGAAATCAACATTGAAAGAAAGCATAGCAATTAATTTTTGGATGCTGGCTCATTATTAGAACTCTACAGTAGGCAAAGCAGAACTGCGGAGATGCCATAAGCTAGGAAGCATTGCTAATGCAGGAGAACACCACACACAAGCGGCTGCCTCAGCAGAGGGTGAGGTTACTGCATATGCAATGTAAAGAGGCAGTAATGAGAGGTGTGCGGTTCCTGTAGAAATACTGAATTGCTACAGGCGGCATGAAGATAACACACCATTAACTGAAAGAACATTAGAGGAGCAAAGAGATTTTTGAGGAAGTGGCTCAGTGCCACCTTGTTATGAAGAGATAAAGTAGCTTTTTAGAGGAAATTTGAACAAAGATGGAGAGAAGAGGGGAACAACTGCCAAAGGAAGACTCGGAGCAACCTGTGGGCAGAGGCTCTTCCACCTCTGGCAATAGACGTGGAGAGGCAGAAAGCGGGTCTGTGCCACGGAGAAGGGGGAGAGGTGTGCTGCCTGGGGATGGCTGCAACCTGAACTGCTTTCAAAATGGAGACTTTGGCACAGGCTGATACTCCATTTTATTCGAGTTGTAAGCCAGCGAAAGCAAAGCAAGTGTATTTTCCCAGGCATCCTTGCACAGTTACTTTTATCTGTCTTCATACCACACCGACTCTGTTTGCTCTGTGTTCAGTCTCTTGCTGTTCTCCTAGACAAACTGTTCAATCGTTCAAGAATCAGTTTTGTGATCTCAGTTGCAACACCGAGCTGAGCAGAAAACAAGTTTGCAAGGCTGAACGTCATCTTTCCAAGAGATCTTCAGACCCAGCCTTCCCCATGGGGAAAGACACTTGTCTGAGGGTTTTTTTTTTTTTTTGTATATGATTTAGAATAATAATCATTTAAAAGGAAATGCTTAAGTAGAAGTAATTGATATGGCAGGACAAGCTGCCAGAAAGCTTGTCTTTATAAAGCCCTGTTAGATGTACATGCATGTAGGCATGCTGTAGAGAATTCATTATGTATGTAGATACACATATACCCATATCGGTACATTGTAGATAATTACAGGTAACAGGTATAACAATATAAATAATGCATATATAATATGCATATATAATAGTTCAAATGTATTTCAAAATATTGACCCATCCACATATCTTTTGACTTATTTTCAGATAAGAGACTCTATAACCCAGAAGAATCACGACTGATCTAATGTTCCTGTAAAATAACAGAAACCTCTTGGAAGACAGAGACTTAATTTTGCAAACTGATTTATACCAAATATTCGACACAGAAACAAAAAGAATTATTTTAGAAGTTCGGAACAGGAACAAATGAATGCCGCGTTTGACCCTGCACACGGCGCTTCCCATCAGCGGGTAGGCGTGCGCGCTGCGGCACACCTTTCCTCGGTCACCAAAAAACTAACGCAGCAGAGGAGACGGCACCCGCGTTTCATAGGCGGCACCGTGGTCCGCCCGAAACCTGTAACCCCCACCGGGGCGATAGCAAATTTTGCGCAACGGCGCCGAGCGTGTCC